GGATACATCACCAACAGGTACCCTGACAGTACCCCCCCTTCTAGAAACGCCCACCGGGCGGATGGGACCTGGCTTAGAAGGAAAACGAACGTGGAAGGCCCGTAGAAGACGAGGAGCATGCACGTCTATACCAGGAACCCAAGACCTCTCTTCTGGACCATAACCTTTCCAGTCTATGAGGTATTGCAGCTTCCCCCTAGAAATACGAGAATCAAGGATGGACTTGATGATATATTCCTCCTGACCATCCACACGGACCGAGGATGGAGGAGTAGAGCGGGAGGAAAATCTGTTACAAACAAGAGGTTTCAATAACGACACATGAAAAGAGTTAGGGATGCGTAGAGTAGGAGGTAGATCCAGCAAATAAGAAACCGGGTTGATCCTCCTCAGTACCCTGTAAGGACCAATGTAACGAGGAGCAAACTTCAAGGAAGGAACTTTCAGGCGAATGTGTCTGGTACACAACCAGACCCTATCCCCCGGAGAAAAAATAGGAGCAGGACGTCTACGCCTATCAGCATGTGACTTAAACACCGCGGAACTACGTTCAAGAATTTGTCGAGTCTGATCCCACAACTTTCTCAGGTTGGCTATATGAATATCAACCGACGGTATACCCTGGGAAGGAGACACCGACGGAAGAACAGTAGGGTTAAAGCCATAGTTCAAGAAAAAGGGGCTATTATGAGTGGAACCACAAACAAGGTTGTTGTGAGCAAACTCCGCCCAAGGAATCAGACCGACCCAGTCATCCTGGTGTTCAGAAACAAAACAACGTAGATATTGCTCAATTTTTTGGTTAGTGCGTTCGGCTGCTCCGTTAGATTGAGGATGATAGGCCGAAGAAAAATTCAGTTTGATGCCCAACTGTGAACAGAAGGATCTCCAAAAACGGGAAATAAATTGGGAACCCCTGTCTGACACAATCTCATTGGGAATACCATGTAAACGGAAAATTTCTCTAGCAAATATCACGGCCAGTTCGGGGGAGGACGGAAGTTTAGGCAAGGGAATGAAATGAGCCATTTTAGTAAACCTGTCAAGGACCGTGAGTATAACTGTATGCCTATTGGAAGCTGGTAGATCAACAATAAAATCCATAGCCAAGCAAGCCCAAGGTTTGTTGGGAACGACTAAGGGCTGCAATAAACCACAAGGGAGATCCCGCGGAAGTTTATTCCTGACACAAACATTGCAAGCCTTGACAAAGTCTTCCACATCCCTACGTAAACCGGGCCACCAGAAGTCTTTTGAGATCAGGCAGTAAGTTTTGTGGATGCCGGGGTGACCAGCGATCTTGCTATCGTGGAAACAGCGAATAATGTCCACTTGGAATTTGGGAGACACGAACAAGCGGCCCACAGGAGTACGTTCGGGAGCAAGAGATTGTTCGTTCTGAATATCAGCGAGCAATGGAGAGTGTATTTTGACATTGGTGTTGGCGATAATATTGACTTCAGGAATAATAGGGAACAAAGTATCCTCTGTAGAGGTGGTAGGTTCGTGCTGACGTGACAAAGCGTCTGCCTTAGTGTTCTTAGAACCAGGCCTGTAAGTAAGCACATAATTAAAGTGTGTAAGGAACATAGACCAACGTGCCTGCCTGGCAGATAATCTTTTGGCCTCCCCCATATACGATAAATTTTTGTGGTCAGTCAAGATAGTAACTGGGAGGACGGTGCCCTCTAACAAATGTCTCCATTCCTTTAATGCCATAATGATAGCTAAAAGTTCTCTATCACCAATGTCATATCTCCTTTCAGTGTGTGACAGTTTCTTGGAAAAAAAACCGCAAGGGTGCAGCGGCTTATCTAAACTTTGTCTTTGGGATAACACTGCGCCTATCCCTGTTTCAGACGCATCAACTTCAAGTAAAAAGGGTAGAGAGGTATCAGGATGAACTAATACAGGTGCTGAGGCAAAAGACTGTTTGAGCGTTTCGAAAGCAGATAAAGCCTCAGTAGACCAGGTTTTGGTATCGGCTCCTTGTTTGGTCATATTAGTGATAGGAGCGATAACAGAGGAGTACCCTTTAATAAAACGTCTGTAATAATTAGAAAATCCAAGAAATCTTTGTATGGCTTTGAGTCCCTTAGGTAAAGGCCAATCTAAAATCGATTTTAGTTTGGTCGGGTCCATCATAAACCCGTCTTTGGAAATTACGTAACCTAAGAAAGTTACCTGAGACTGGTCAAAGCTACATTTTTCCAATTTACAATACAATCCATGTTGTAAAAGTTTCTGTAATACCTTTCTGACTTGTCTATGATGTGAATTAATGTCTCTAGAATGGATTAGTATATCATCCAAATATACAATTACACATTCATGTTGGAATTCTCTAAGAACTTCATTGATCAAGTCTTGGAAGACGGCCGGGGCGTTACAAAGCCCAAACGGCATTACGGTATACTCATAATGCCCGTAACGGGTATTAAATGCTGTCATCCATTCATCTCCTTGTTTAATTCGCACTAAGTTATATGCTCCCCTTAAGTCAAGTTTAGTAAAAATACTCGACCCCTTTAGTCTGTCAAAGAGTTCAGTAATCAAAGGAATAGGGTAAGCATTTCTGATAGTAATTTTGTTCAATCCCCGATAGTCTATACAAGGACGTAAGGTACCGTCTTTCTTTTCTACAAAAAAGAAACCCGCCCCCGCCGGAGAAGAAGACTTTCTAATAAATCCCTTGTCTAAATTCTCCTTGATATATTCCTCTAAAACTAAGTTTTCCTTGGTGGATAGAGGGTATACCGTACCCCTGGGAGGCATAGTACCAGGGAAAAGTTTAATAGAACAGTCATAAGACCGGTGGGGAGGTAAAGTATCCGCCTTACCCTTGTCAAATACAGATTTGAGGTCTAGATATTGTAATGGTATCTGAACGTCTGTGGATTGAGAAGTGTTAGCATAAGAGTTCACGGGGCAAACAGAAGTAACTCTCTGCAGACATTCTTTCCTACAACCCATACCCCAAGAAACGATTTCTCCACCCTCCCAGTCAATCTGAGGGTTGTGTCTCTTGAGCCAAGAATATCCTAGAACCACTGGGACTGCCGGGGAGGAAATTAACAGAAGGGAAATCAACTCTTCGTGGAAAATACCAACAGTAAGCTTAACGGGTTCGGTCTCATGGAATATTACTGGTTCAGATAAAGGTCTACCATCTATGGCCTCAACGGCCAAGGGTGTATCTCTCAATTGGAATGGGATACAATGCATATTAGCGAAAGTTTGGTCTATAAAGCTTTCTGCTGCTCCAGAATCTAATAATGCCATCGTAGTAATAAACCCCTTTTCCCAAGCTAGAGAGACAGGAATCAGAAGCCTATGGTCTTTTTTATTATGCATAGAGGACAGTAATGAAACACCCAAGGCCCGTCCTCTAAGGGAACTTAGGTGCGAGCGTTTCCCGGACGATTAGGGCAACTGAGACGTAGGTGACCTCTCAGCCCGCAGTATAAACAGAGACCCTCCCTTCTTCTGTACTGTCTCTCAGCCTCAGATAAGCGAGTATTACCTATTTGCATAGGTTCTGGTGGAGTAGGATTATAGGAGTCAGGGTTCTGAAATGAGGGAGCGAGTCTTACAGGAAGTCTAGTAACTCTTTCCCGAGTGTTCTGCCTCTGTCTCATGCGTTCATCTATTCTGGAAATGAAGGATACTAAATCCTCTAAATTTTCCGGAAGTTCTCTAGTGGCAATTTCATCTAGAATTTCATCAGACAACCCATTCAAGAAAACATCCATAAAAGCTTGTTCGTTCCATTTCACTTCTGCTGCCAATGATCTAAACTCTAGAGCATATTCTACAAGGGTCCTATCTTGTTGTTTAAGGCGTAACAGGGATCTGGCCGCATTAATCTTCCTCCCTGGGGGGTCAAAGGTTCTTCTAAAAGCCGTGACAAACGCAGTGTAGTTGTAGACTAAAGGATTGTCATTCTCCCAAAGGGGATTGGCCCATCTAAGTGCTTTATCTATTAGCAGGGTTATAATAAAGCCTACCTTAGCCCTGTCAGTGGGGTAAGCCCGGGGTTGTAGTTCGAAATGTATACTTATCTGGTTTAAAAAACCACGACAAGCATCAGGCGAACCCCCATATCGTAATGGTGACGTGACATGGGAAGATGCGCCTACAGTGGCTACTTCCAAACCAGTACTTAGCGAGTGGCTAGCAGTGGAACGTATTTCTTCAGACTGGGTACTGGAGCGTGTCAACAAAGTTTGTAACGCTAAAGCCATTTGGTCCATTCTATGGTCCATGGCCTCAAATCTGGGGTCAGGAGGACTAGCACCTGCAGGATCCATCATGGCCCTGTCGTAATGTCAGGAAACTGACAGGGATCCAATACGCAGAGTGCGCACAGAAGGAGGTACGTATACCGGACCTTAGAATGGCCGGACTAACGTAAGGACAAAGCAAGAATAGTCAAAAGGTAAGCCGAGGTCAAGGGAGCCGGAGGACAGGTAAGCGAGATACAAGCCGAGTCAAAGGAGAGGAGAGGACAACAGGACAAAAGACAAGCAAGGGTCAAAACCAGAAACACTAGATAAAGAACGCGCTGAGTGACTAGCAAGCTAGAACCACGACAGGGCAATGAGCAGTAGTAAAGGTTTCCTTTAAATACCCTGTACCTAAATAGAGACCACGCCCCCAAAAGGTCCGGAATAGCGGTTCCCGGCACTTTATGCAAATGCCGACGTCATGACGTCGACGCTAGCCGTCACGTCATAAAAGGGGGAGGAGCTAGCGCGGCCGGCGCGAAAACGGCCGAAATATGCCGAAATGCTAGGGGAAGGGAGCCCCTAAGCAGAGAGGATGTCCTCCCTGGATACATCACCAACAGGTACCCTGACAGTCTTGGGATGCTATGAGGAGGGATACCAGGTTGACATCTTTCCCTTCTAAAATGTCTTTCTTAATAGCCTGGGGCACTAAGTGGGCAGGCGTGATGATGTGTGTGGGTATAGGTGCTGGGTTGGAAATTGTGCTGTTACCCGGCTTAGGCAAAGTCTCTGGTAGCATGGAGGGGATAGCTGCTGGGTTGATTATGGCCACTTGATTTTCAAGTTTCTCCAGTCTCTCATTAATGATGTTAACTGAAAAAAGAAGAGTGGACATCGTGGCCTGAAGTCCAGGCGTGCTTCCGTCGATTGCCTGTGTGCTGGTGCCTGGTCGCGGGGTTTCGGGGTTAGTGTTCAGGAGGCGGTATAGTTCCGCTTTGCGGGCAGTGGCCGGGTATGGTATGCCTCGTCTCCGGAGTTCAGCTGCGATCTTGGGTATGGTCCAGAAGCGTAGGGACGCTGGACTAGCCGTCTCTACATTATCCACTGGGGTACTTGGTCTGGTTGGGCTGGAGATTCTGGCTGGGGTGCTGGGTAGAGAGACATCCTTGGCTATGTCCGAAGCGTGTGACATTCTATAACATGAGTAAGTACATGAGTTAGAGGACATTGATTCGATTGGGGGAAGAGTATTATTGGGAGAGTTGTTTACGTTTTTTGCGGGGAGTGAAACTGGGGTTTGATGGAGGAGTGATTGGGGTGCTCGTACGTGTCTATGGTGATTTTGCCCATGATGCGGGTGGGCGAAGCGGTCTTTGTTTGTGAGGGCCGAATAAGCATGATGACGTGCGACGTAGAGTGAACTATGGAACGATGTGGGGGTGTCGTGCCTCGGTGGCGAGTTTGATGGATTTATCCACTGAATGTGGACGTGGTTAGGGATCGTGATTGAAATCGGGCCGTTGTGTTGGCATTGTAACCTGTTGGTCTGTCAGGTGCGTGTCTGACAGGGTGATTACTTAATGGGAGAAATAGACGGGAAAAGAAACATGATACTTACTTGTGGTTAGCGAGTTTGCGTGAGTGCCTTGATTTACAGGAAGGAATTAATGTTTTCCAGACTGTTATGGCACTTGGGTTGCCTGAGATGGCTTAGAAACCTACGAAGAGGAACAGTAAAAAAAAAATTTTTCTGACGTACGTAAGTGTGGCCGTGTGGGGATGTATTACCTGCACGAAACTTGTCCGATGGATACAGGGTTGAAGTTTGCGGACTATGCGTTGTCATGGAAAACCTAAGTGATGATTCGAGTGAGTATGCGACCGTGATATTGTTATTGCTTTGACAAGATTCTTCTCTTACTTACCTATGTATTTATGGTAGTGCGGTACGCAATGATTTAGTATCCTATGTTAGGGATTGCCTAGATAAAATACACGTATGGGGAACTGAGTTAAACCTTTTTTTTTGTGGTCCCTTTAATAACGAGCTTCTCTCCCCCCCCCCTCTCTCTCTCTCTCTCTCTCTCTCCCTCCCTCTCCTCTTCCAGACTTTGAATATATTGTTGTGGTTGTATATAATTATATTATATAATTTTGAAATTGGCTGATGGGAGTGATGGCTGGTTTATTAGAGCAGGAGAAAAACTGTAATTGTGCATTCTTTGAAATTGCCACGTGGATATATTTATTGTAGACGTAATTTAGAACAGGAAAGTGGTTATCATAACAAATGACTGGAAAGGAAACCTGCACTAAGTGCAATTTGACTCTTGAGCTAGTGGGGGTCTGTGTTTGGAGCCGTGAGTTTGTGAAGTCCAGGGGGAGGGAGGGGGTTTGGCATTTGGCACTTGTGTGTGCTTGCCAGCCCCTCCGCTCCCCTGATTGGTGGACTGTGTGTCCGGAGTTAAGGAGCGACCCGGAAGGAGGCGTGTGCTGAGTACTCACGTGACCGGTAGTGATTGCGGCCTGGAAGTGACGGTGGCAATGAGCTGGCGGAAGCACGGAAACTGCCCGAAATTACTCATGGTCCTAGTGCAGGACCTGACTGCGGCTGGCTGAATGCCGTCGGGAAGGGGGACACTCCGGTCGTCGGGATGTTGCTGGCTGCGTGCAATAGAAGTTTCCTTGTTGATTAGAGATTGCTGCTGGACCGGAAATGGACGCAGTGGAGTCTGGGTCAATCTCGGCCCTGATTAGAGGCAGGTCTGGGTATAAATAGGCCGGTTAACCCCTCCCACAACTACAGGCTCCGCCTTAACATATATTGTTTTTTAGGAAGATGACTAGACAAAACCTTGTATTTTAATTTTGACCTTGCCTCTTCCTTCTTTTGTTCTGTAAATTGAATTAATTGTATGTCACATTCTTGGACTCAATTATATTTCACCTGCCTTTACAAAACATTCTCTATTGGATCACTGGAATTCTCTGCCTGAAGAAGTGGTTTTATCAGAGTCCGTACAGATGTTTAAAGAGCAACTAGATGCATAAAACAGAATATTCAAGTATATCATTTTTCAATGTGGGGTAATAGCTTCTTGATCCAAGGATAAATCTGACTGCCATTCTGGGGTCAAAAGGAAAAACATTTTTCCTCGTTTGTTGCAAAATTGGAAGTGCTTCAAACGGGGGTGTGCGGGGGTAGGTTTGCCTTCTTTTGTACTAACAGCAAAAAACAAATATGAGGAAGGCTGAACTTGATGGACACATGTCTCTTTTCAGCCTTTGTAACTATGTAGCTATGTAACCCAATATTATTTTAGAATGCTAACCCACCGGCTACTGCCATAGTCTCAATGCAGTCCTTAATACGACATTCTGACCCAATTATGTGTAATAATGAGTGTTTTGTCTAGTATAAAGCAGCAGTTCCTGTTGAGTAATCATTTCAAGTAAAAAAAAAAATGTTGTTTTGAAATATTATTGCTTTCAGCCAATTCCATTATTATCTCAGATTAAGTAATAGTAACTTTTGTCCAGAAAAAGCAGTACTTACACAATTAATTATCATTGAGACTGAAGTAAATATACAAAAAAAGCAAGAAAATCCTAATGCTGCCAATTATTCATGATTACTTATTTGTATTTCCAAATCAAAACATGTAATAACTAATTAAATAGCATTTATTTTGATGGATTATTAATGGAGATAATTGTCCTATGTATCGAGCTGGCATTTGTAATGATTGAAAACGTAAAGAAAATGTTTTGCGGAACTACTATAAAAAAGGAAACCAGTAGTTTTCATTACTATATTATATTTTATTTATACATTGCTTAAATCCAATCCTTAGTAATGGCAAATGTATGGGGCTATCTAGCTTGAGATTTCAATGACCACTCAGACTCTTCCCAATAATCAGAGACACTCTTTAACGACAAATTATTAAAGATAGCTTATGTACAAATAGCTGAAACCATGCTTTTATTTTCTATTCTGCTATTCCTGCTTGCTGCGTTTTACTGGCACACATTTGGTAGAAATTGCATAATTTCTTCACAGTAAAAGACATGAGCACCAAATGACCTGCTGCATGACATTTTCTGCTAGTAAACGTTGATACACTCAGCTCGGAATTCTATAGATATCATTAGTTATTTGACTTTATTGACTCTTCCATAAGAATTTATGGTTTTCTAAAAAGTTAAATCTTTTGTTTTTGATTTGCCTGAAATTTAGTCAAATATCTATTGTGTTCAGACCAAAAAAAATTCATTTATTTACCAAATTTTGATTATTAATTAATCTTTATGCAAATTAATTGCACATTAAAAAAAAAAAATGTAAAAATAAATACAAATATACACATATATATGTATATAATTATTTTTATTTTTTTTAAACGATTCCTTTAAATTTCAAGATTCTAATTCTACAGGAAATAGACATCGATTGGCTGATGAAACAATCAATGTCAAATAGCACTATATGATTGGTCGCTGATTGTGGTCACATGATTGGTCAGAAAATGCTCTCAATATATAATTACTGCACTGTTATTGGATGCAGCATTACACGCACGATAGCAATTACTTATTGAATTAAATGGCCAAATGACATTCAGTCAGTGAGCCATTGGGTCATTCGGTATATAGCGATTTATGTATTCTTTTTCTCACTAAATAACCAAAACCCAAAATCTTCAGTCATTTTGCAGTTCTTCTGAAAATGAATGCACAGTACTATCATTTAGCTTCCCAACTATGTGCTGATAAAAAAAAAAATACTGAACTCCAATCCTCCCTAATTAAATATTTAGAAAAAGTTTGAAACAGAGAAAATATCAGAAGATTATAAACTCGGAGTAAGCAGAAATGAAATTCCCTAGACAGAATGAGCATTCTATTGCAGTTGTTAACCTTTCCAGAGATCTGCAAACTCTTAGCCAGAACTTTATGTAGCATTCCGAGTGCCAGCAGTAGTTTGATCCATCAATTATTTATTAATTAATTGACTAACTTATTATTTCATTTATTTTTGGAACAATATCACAAATTCAGAGTGGTTTGCTAGATTCTATACTACAATTAACATTTATATCGTGATTTTGTAATATATTTTAGAATGTGCGTTATTTACCGGGATACATAAAACATGATATTTTTGTTTGATTGTGGAATGTTCCTTTGCATATAAACGCAAGATTTAATGATATAATGTATATGTCTGTGAGTGGTAATGGTTTAATTGCTTCAATGTGCATAAAACTACAATTTAGATTGGATTGAAATGCTATTAATACGATTTCTCTAATCTCTGTTTCTGATTTCTGTGCTGCAATAGTGATGGTGTTATGTTTATATCAGAAAGCAATATGCTATATTACGATTGCATCTTAAACTATAATTAAACTATAATTAACAGCCACTTAGGGACTGGAAATAGGAAATCATGTGTAACTATGATAGGCCTAATGTATATTTGATCTTAACAGGGTAAAGGTACTCAAGCCATAAGCAGGTATTCATTTATATATGCTTACGTACATAATTTTACCTCTGGGTAGGTGCCTCGCTGACCTTTTTAGTGTATATGCGCATGTACTGCAGAGAGACGAATGTCTGTAACTCGTGTCCCATACAATGCATTGAAGTACAACTATCAAAGTATGACCATCACTGCGGCTATTGGTACAAAGGTTAGGTGATAATAGCCTTGGGAAATAAAATAAAATATTATTTCTAAGATAACCTGGTAGTACAATATGCAAGTTAAAGAGGAATCGTCACCTCCCTGTGTTTTTAATAATATGTTTGCTTATCTTTATATTAGACAAATGTTTATGGGTGAAAATATCAAATTAAGCAGATCGACCACACCTCTTTATTTTGCAACAAAATGCCTCCATTTTGTCTCTCTGTCAGTTGTTTTTATATGCTCTGTCCTTTGCCCCTGGCTGTCAGCATAGTGAAAGCATAGAGAGAAGAGGGGACACTAAACAAAGGGTTACAAGCAAGATGGGTGCATAACAGAGACTGATAGGGAAGGGGTTAACAAGGAGATGGGAGGATAACAGGCAGTGGCGTCTCTAGGATTCATTTTTCGGGGGGGCACATGGAGGGCCAGTGACAAAAGTAGGGGGGCACATCTAACCCCGCCCTCGTCGCAGTTTGACCCCGCCCCTGTCGCATG